ATATATAATACGTAATTACGTATCTCATAAATTGCATAATTTTTTAAAGCATTTATGTTTTTTTGTCTCTATCGCAGGAGACAGACTACGCTTACACGGACACTCTTTATCAGGTTTAATAACATCCGTAGTTATAAAACTGACAAATCATAGTTATTCTTTTGGAGAATGGAACTGATTGGCCAGTTTCTAACTACGGATGTTATTTAACCCGATTAAGTGTGTCCGTGAAAACGTAGTCATAGTAGTGTCATTGCTATGGCCACGCACGCGATACTGGATTGTATATTTGTGTATCTCACTAATACGCACACACAATATACGTAAATGGTAATTATTTATAATAACGAATTCCTCGCCGATTAACTTGATTTTATTGTCAAGATCATAACTTTGAACAGCAATTAAAAGTTTTAGTCATTGCTCGTTATTCATTAAAAAGTTATTAACGAATAAAATTGTTATTCTTGCAAGGGAACCATCGGGGTTGATCCTCATCGATTTTGCTATCACATATTATTTGGATATGTTGTAGAGCATAAAAAAAATGTTAAACTCATACTTTTTTTTTATCAGCTTTAGGAATTGAAACATTCTCGAAAAAAATTAATTTAATTGTTTTCAGCAAATATCTTCGAAATTATGCAATATATGAAAATAAGTTTTATATATAAGTTTTATGGTATTTTATATATATTATATAATGGTGTATTTATTTTTTTAAACATCAAATTTTTTAGCTTTCCTTCATTCTCTCTCATTAATTTTGCAAAATTAAAAAAATTTATACGAACAAAAATTAAAGACCGTCGAATATCGAATTCATTCATGTATAATAATGTTATGTCTCTACAATTCAAATTTCGAAAAAAACGAAACGTACTATAGACGCTGCACTATAGGAAGGTATTATTTCTTTTCTTACGCAAATTAGAATTACTTTTTTCTTTTCTTTTCAATAAATATCTCTCTCTCTCTTTCTCTCTCAACTAGCGTGATATGCAACGATGAATGATGCGTAGGGTACGAGTATCTTTATGTTTACTGCCTTGCAAATCTGAACATATATTACAAAAAGAAATAGAAAATCAGAGAGAGAGGGAGGGAAGGGGGGGGGGTAATTAATGAACAGTAAGGCCGGAATCAGACTGCGCTGAAGATTAAGATTAAAGATTAAAGATTGAAATTTCACCAATGAGGACAAAGAAATTTTGGTTTCTTTTGTTCTGATTGGTCAAACTTCAATCTTCCAATTTCTTATTTTATTTATTATTATCGAGCCTTATTATCCTTTATATTTTCAATCTTTCAATCTTCAATATCATTCTTCAATGCGTAGTCTGATTCTGGCCTAAAAGGAGAAGGAAATAATTTGCCAAAAAGAAAAAAAATAACATTTACCTATAGCGCGGCGCCTATAATACGATGTCTTATTTTTAAAAAAATTGGTTCGTGAAATTTTTTAATTTTGCAAAATTAATGAGTGGAGGTGAAAGTCAACAAATTTGATATTAAAAAATGTATACATCATTATATAGGGCGTAAAATATCATAAAACTTTTGTGTATAAAACATTTTTTATATACAGCATAATTTTAAAGATGTTTGCTGAAAACGATAGAATTCATTATTTTTCGGGGAAGAGATGTTTCAACAACTAAACCTTGAAATACGCTGATAAAATAAAATATAAGTTTAATATTTTGATCCTTTACAACATCCAGAATCCATCAAAATCGGTGAGGGACTACTCCAACGGTTCCTTAGTTTACACACAAGATATTAATGAAAATATATCAATTGTCATGTTTTTGTCTGAAACGAAAGAATCTGGCAATTAAAGTTCGCTCGACTCTATTTAAAGAATAAATAATGTAAAATGTAAAGATATTAAAAGTATGCAAATTTTTTCACTGACGCGCGAGGTATTCATTATTGTAAATAATTGCATAAATATATGTATATATACAATACACGTATATGAGTATGAGGTGTTGTGATTTACTGGGGCTAATAAAAAATAATTTTATTTTTTATTTTATATTTTCATATATAAAAGAAATAAGAGAAAGAAAAGACGTTCTTCAAATGCATCTCCTTGTCTAATTTGGTTAGATTCTTAGTATTATTTTATTTAAAAGAATTGTTATACTATTTATATAGTATTTTATTTAATTATTGTATATACTATTTTATATACTATTTTATTTAATTATTGTGTAAATAGTAATTATTAATATTAATTTATAAATGTAGTACGTGATGTGGTCTGAAAGAAATTTAAATTATTTTATCTATAAATTATATCAAAACAAAAATTATTTCATTCAAATGTATCATATGTGTTTTCAACATAAAATTATTTGATTTATGTTTTAATGTATATTTTCAGATCAATAATTTTAATGGATTCATTATTTAGCACTTTTAATATGTGCGAGAAATAATTTTTTTGCAATTTATTTTATATGTATTAATATTTTCATGAATATCGTTCTTCCCATATTCGCAAATAAGTTAAAGCAAGTTGGAGCAAATATATATATATATAAAAACAATATAAATTTTCCCAACAAAATAATTTTATTTAAACCAAGTCAAAACCGAGTAACAACAAGATGTTCGCAGATATTAATTTTTATTATGAATTATTACAAAATTTTAGGTGAGACTGATTTCGACTGTATTGTAGTCTTCTTCAGCCACTAATTAAAAAATTACAATAACCTACACAGTAGTCCTTTGTTCGAAAGTTACAAATGAATACCGTTGCGAATCCTTTCTATTTGCCGTCACATTTCTTGTTTCTTAATTTATTGGATGTACAATCGTGTTTATAACTGGATATTCTGAGACTTTTCCTCTGTCCATAAATAAATATCTATTGAACAAAATAATTTTTTTCAATAGATATTTATTTATAAAATTAAAAAGGTAGATAGGTCAAAAAACGAGCAAAAGAAAGATCTAGTTTAAAAAATATAATATTTCACTTTACATCACAAATTAATATTGGATGTCGTATAAATAATATGGAACGTTTCGACTATACTAAGTCATCTCAGCCACATTAAATCACAAAAATTTTTTAATTAATACTGAATATTTAAATGTTAGATGAACTTCAAGAATAAAATTATAGAGTATACATTCATATCGCAATAATTATTATATAAGTCAAAATATTAAAAATTACAAAGTATGTAGTCATGTCGCAATAAAAAACCATATAAATCGTCTAAAGATATCAAGACTATTCCATCGTTGGACAGCAAGAAAGAGTAGTAACATTTATGTTTATTTGCTGTTGTTTCTGTCTTTATATGCTTTATGTATCCAAGAGCGCGTTCATTTTAATTGCCAAATTAACTTGATTAAATACAATTTTATATTAAATTTTTATTATCACCAAAAGAATAATGTCTCGTTGGTTCTAAACTTACTTATGACAAACGCTTGGAATAACCTGTAGTGACCTTATCAGATTGCACGTTCGAGATCATATGACAAAAACAATCCAATTCAAGTGCTAGCGTTTTGAAAAATATCTCAGAGAGGGAAGCATCATTCTTTGTAAACAAATTTGAATATATTGAATTGAAAGACTCTGTCCTTTTGTTTATATTGAGACCATTCTTTTGTTTGTTAATAAAAATCATTTCGGATGTTAGTCTTTTATGCAAATTTTTCTTTTTATCCAAAATTTTTATATTCTCTCAGTCAAACTCATGGGAAAATTCTAATCTGTGATAACCGAATGCTGTGTTGTATTCCAATTAATATGATTTTTATGTTCATTGATACGTGCCTTAAGGATTCTTCCCGTTTGCCCCACATATGATGCGTCACAATTTTTACAATTTATTTTATATACTATGTTATTATGTGCTATAATAGGAAAATCGTCTTTCTGAAATTATACGCCTTGCTTATTAATTGTTCTTTATTAAAAAAAACTATCTTTTCAGAGATACTAGATATAAAAGGTACCGCAAAAAATCTCCGTCTTTTAATTTCATTATTATTATCTAAATTTTGTTTATTATTATTGCTAGAATTGTTATTAGAATTGTTATTAAATTGTGTAAAATTTTTTCGTAATCTCTTGTTAATTATATTATAGCTTAACAATGGTTATCTATTACATATGATTTTTGCTATATACAATAATAACTTTTGAACAAATGGTCGGAAATTAGTTTTTCAAAAAAGGATTTAAACTAGAAACATACATTTATAAGTTGTCAGATATTTTTTACGATTTTTTTCTTTCAAATTAGTTGTTTTATATTTCAAAGTTTGTTAATTTTTTCCAGTTTTTTACAAGTTTTCCAAAGTTCTTTGTTTGCGATTTACATAAAATATTTTTATAAGGATCGAAAAAATATTCTTAGTATTGTTGGAACATTTCTCGGTTAAATGCCGCAAAACAGACCTCAATATCATTTTTTCTTTAGCTAGAAAAAATTAATATAGAATTTACTTCTGAAAAAAACTGCTTTTGCGATTATTTAAAAAATGGATAGTAATGAAAAAAACAGACAATGTAGTCATTTTCAGTGCATCAAAATCCTGGAAACATCTTTCAAAGTTCAAAGCACAAAACCCCACCTAAATTTTGTCGGTCTGTATTATTTTGGATTTCTGTTTACATCCATGAACTGTCGACTTTTCTTCGTACAATTAAGAATTTTGTCCATCAATTGCGAGCGATGTTTTTTCGACATTTATGGATATACATATGAAGATCAGGTGCATTTTATTTAATGTGGGATAAGTTTTGTAAAGGAATTTTTATTAAGGCATCGATTATATATATAATATATTCAGAATTGTAAGTTTTCACCCATTAATGATGGCTCAGTATGAATCGAAACGCTTGGAATATTTATATTGCATTTGAATTTGTCAATACATTAATTTTAATTATACACTGATATCAGCTTGGCTCATTGCCCTGTTTATTGCATTCTGAAATTTTGAATTCTCTAAGTCTTTAGATATTTGTTTTTATTTTTAATCATTAATTACTTGGATACTGTATAGTGAATTTGGTTCAACGCTCTAGTATTGATTATTGAAGCCATCATACACAAATTGATGTGTGTTTAGTATAAATAAAACCGAGTTAATCGCGAAATAAATTTTTAAACTACTTTTAAACTTCTAATCAATATACATTTATGCTGTTAAGTAGCATATGTATTTTATAATACGAAATATTTGTATTTTATTATTACATTCAAATTAAAATGTACAACAGATTTAATATGCACCAATGCGCATTAGTGCCTTCGAGTAAATTAACAGTTTTTAAAAAATATTATTTCTTTTTCTGAAAAAAGTGGTCAAAAAGTTTGTAGCGAAAAGAACATGAGGAAGCATTTTCCTCGTTGAAATGTCTGGTGGGGAAATTAAGCAAGGCCGATTTTTTGTAATGTTAAGAATTGCGAAAATTTTGGGTTTTGCTCCTTTTTATTCTACGCCCACTCCTTATAGTTCAGTATGATGAGATGGGAATCTCTTTAGTACTGCGTAATACAGATTATAAAAAGCATAGGAGCTAACAATCAGGATTCCCATAAGAGCCAATCCAAAAATCCAGGACAAGAGATTGCCATCTATCATATTAGAAGCTTCTTTCCTTTTCCGAGCACTGATCTCTCCCAGTGTAGTGCCCTTTCGCTCTATCATGAGCTTCTTCATATTGGCGAGCTTCTCTCGTAACTCATCTACAGATTCGGCAATCTCCTCGATCGATTCTCCCACGGGTAAATCTGCAATTTATGTAAGTACGATAAAATCATATGAGAACAAGGCATTCTTGATTAAGTATATATATATATATATATATATATATACATATATATACGACTTGCACACTTCGAAAAACTTGTGAACTATAAGTTGTATGAAAAACATATGCCTGTGGTGCGCACTCTGTGATTGTACAATCATAAGGGACCTACAGTTTAACGTTAATTCCGAATGATTTTGTTTAGAGAAGTGACAAGGATACTCTCGTGGTTTGCCATTGCCTACCGAGGGGAACTACGAGCGTACGAAAATTTTTCGGTTTTATCTGGGATCGAACCCGGGATCTCTGGCATAACAGCATCGGATGCTGCCTGCTACACCACGCTCACGCTAATAATGCATGACTTACACAGTGCATAAATTTTTTTATAAATGGAAGCGTTAAAAAGATTTCTAATGTAGCGTTAGATTTTTAGAGTCTCTGATTCTGAATACGAATTAAAAATTTGAAAGTTCAAAATGGCTGAATCAATATATAGAATAGAAAAATTAAAAATAACTAATTCAATATAGCGGACGGAAATGAAAATGCCAAAAGTCGCCTGATTTCGGTGAAATATAGTGTTAGAGGTTTTCTGCCCTTACAGCACCGATTATTTCAGAAAATTTTCAGAAATATTTCAATCTTTCACATCTCATGAATAACAATTCCAAAAGGGTTCTGCAATATGTCATATGAAATGTTTCAATAGCCAAAATGTTTACTAAAAATGTTTGTCTCTATTTGTCTCTTGCCTTTTTGATTAAGAAGGCAAGAGACAAATAGTAAGAAACAGGAAACAAAAAGCACATTGTAGAATTAGCCTTATAGTTTACAAGTTTTTCGAAGTGTGCAAACTAAGTCGAAAAGTCCTGTACAACTTTTCATTTTATATCTTTGTAACTAATCAGTGAAACAATGAAACTTTGCATAAATTATATTTTGAATATTTATAGTACTTATAAAAGTAATAAAATTTATAGTATACTTATAAAAGAAAAATATAAATTCTTTTATCGTTAAAAAAAATTTTTATTTCTAACAATAAAAATAATTAAAATGTATTTTAACATTGGGAAGACTCTCTTAGAAAAGTTTGTTTATGAAATGTTTTACATTAAAATATTACACGATAATGTTTGTTGTGAAAGGGCATGTAAGAGTCGAATTTTATATCCTTATATTTTTATATCGTTATCGATCAAAATATTAGCAATAATAACTTGCTTTGGCTCATGGCCTCTTTTTATTTGTTAATATTAATCATTTTGAGCTGAATTATAATATTTATTATTTTTCTAGAAGATCAAGCAATTGAAGTAATCTGAATTATTTTGCTTTTATATTTATCTTAATTTTTATTTAAAAAAATCATTATATTCCTGAACTATATTATTCTGTAAGAGAAATTTTTATGGGTATTATATTTTTATCTCCGTTTAATTAACATCTAACACACAATCCTGATTTATCTTATAAGATTTATCGCAAATACAACGACTATTCTTGATGCAATGTTTTATGCGGAGAACATTGGGGAGAAAAAGAGAGAGAGAGAGAGAATGTGTGTGTGTTTGTGTGTGTTACCTTGAATAATGTGAGCATCATTTCCTGATTTTCTAGATATTTAAATAGTTGACGTAAAAATCGAAAATTATCCTGACTCACCATCGATATTTGGCGCACAAGTATGTCTTTCAGTTTTCATGATGTTAGATGACACGCAGTTTCTCGATTCCGCTTTTTGGTCCGGAGCATGACAGTATTGATTATACAGCATCCCGCAATGTAGCGCAGTCTCTGTGCACCATATAACTAAGATTATCCAATGGCCTGCCATTGGATGACTACATCTCGCGCGATATCTGATTTCAATTTGATTCCAAGTAGCACATAATGCCTATAAAGCATTTTAAAAGTGCTAAAAATTGTATATAAAAAAACGGTATATGTAAGGGTAATTGTCATTGTAATAATTTTTTAAATATAATCAGGATATCATCAAAGGTAATTTAATATCTCAAAAAAACAACGCCAGAATTTTTTCAGATTTTTTTGAACAATTTTAATCCGTACCTACGAGACATGGATAGATATAAACACACCTTTGTGAACAAAATTCAGTCGATGCTCTAATTCTTTACCAATTTTAAAGTTCTTTTTAATTTATTCGAAATTGAATTAGCTAAAAGCCCATTCTGCGTAAATTTTAATTACGGTCCAAATTAAAAATGGCCGGTCCAATATTCGTTATCGTATATTGATTTTTTTGCTCACTTTATTGGATCGACCACTTTAAGTGGCTATAGTTCATTCAATTTTAAGCAAATTGAAAAAACTAAAATTGATTAAGAATTAGAGTATCAGCCAAATTTTTCCGCTCATTGTGAGGAGCCTAAAAAAAGTTCTGCAAGTTAAGTTTTTTGTTGAGAAAAAAAACGATGTGGTGCAAGTCGGTGTTAAATCGCAGTATCAAAAGTAGATATACGTGATCAAATGTATCACACATTTGCATCTTGCATATCTATTTTTGACACCGCGATTTAACACCGACTTGCATCGCATCTATTTTTCAACAAAAAACTTAACTGCAGAATCTTCCTAAATGTTAAGGCTTTGCATAGTAGACAAAAAAATTCAGCCGATGTTCTAATTCTTAACCAATTTTAAAGTTTTTTTTTAATTTATTCGAAATTAAATAACCTATAAGCCCATTCTGCGAAAATTTTGATCATGGTCTGGAGTTGAAAAGTGGACGTATTACCTTCAGAGCTATGTAGTTTACATCTACTTTATCAAGGGGCAGTAGTGCGCGGCAGCATTTTGCGGTTAGGGGTTCCGCACAATAAAAGGAACAGGGAACAGAGAACAGAGAATAAGAATTTCAGCCTATCAGAAATCATGCATTGTGGAATACACAGAAATTCTTATTCTCTGTTCTCTGTTCCCTGTTCCTTTTATTGTGCGGAGCCCCTTACAGGTTTTGGGCCGGCATGTCCCGTCTCCGGTTTCTCTCTCGTAAAAGCATGGAGCAGAGAGAAACCTGAGAGCGGCCATCCCGGCTTTTTCGTGTAATGCTTCTAACTCCCCGTACACTAGCGACACGAACGTCCATTTTCGAGCTACGAGAACTACGTACCCTGTCCATTTACGAGATCCCCCCGTCTCGCCGATAAAATCGTATCATCGAAAGTGGACGTGATACACCACAAATTACAGATGTGAAGAAAAAACTATTTTTCGACACTGTTGATAAATAAATTTACATTATGATGCTACA